TGTGAGAGAAAAAAAAGTTATTTGTAACTAAGTCATAGTGAGCTATGACCTACTTTTGAAAAATTGAAATTGGTGCTGATATCTCTAATTCTAGAACAGTTGGTTTGAATTTCATATTTTTTTCGAAATCACTCTAAAGAACTGCCATAAGAATGTGAAATTCCTATTTGAATATTTTCATAAATAAAGAAGCTACGGAGGCGACATGAAAATGATCAAAATCTGTTTTTTGCATATAAAACAAAAACGAATAGATTTTATCGAAATATTTTTTCATATTATAGTTGGCCTTGACAAACTCCACATTTAGTGTCATTTAACCGACCTCGTATCTCTCACCGTTAAAAAGATACCCATGGTGAGCATGGTAAGTGGGACACACTGTATGTATACTCAGTTCCGGATCTTCAATTCTCTTTAGGCATAGCAAAACCTGAAAAATGCCACCTCGCCTAATCTAACTCATTTTTTCTACTAGCGTGCGGAAAGTCCACATTTCCGCACTTATTTCAATGTTGAATGAGATGTTTTTCCGCACTAGTGCGGAACAAACCTTGAACACTAAAATTAGTGCGATATAGGAGTTTTTTCGGCACGCCAGTACTAAAAAAAATAGTGTATACCTAACATGTGACATCATCAGATGTTCACTGATTGATTGACATTTTAACATTTTGGAAACAATGCGTCCATCGCTGTTGTTTCTGTGTCCAGTCTCTCTATTTACAGATATATTGACATGAACGTGAACGATATATATCTTTTTCTAGAGTGCGGAAAAGTCAACTTTTTCCACTCATTTCAGTGTTGAATGAGTAACTTTTTCGCACTAGCGCGGACACAACTTTCATCACTCAAATTAGTGCGGAAGAGAGGAATTTGGTTTTTTCCCCACGCTAGTAGGAAAAATAGTGTACCTAACACGTGCGTAAAGTGACTTTTTTGCACTCAGGTAAACCAGTATTATACACAGCACAGGATAGGATTCAAAAATTTAAATATGTATAATGAAAATAAGAATAAAATATATTATTGCATTTGTGAATCTAATCTATTCGTCCACAACATATATAAGGCGCTTTAGTTGGCCTTCATTGCCGCACTGCTAGGGACGTTGTTAATTTTTATGCTTTTGCTGACTTGGCAGTGATGAGTAAAATCTCTGTACTTTTACTATTATTCACTCTTTGGTCAAAGTCCGGGGCTGTGTATACTATGGTTTGCACAAAATCGTATTCTCAAGAAATCGAGTAGGTATTGTATGTAGTTTCTGAAATATATCAAGATCAATGTTGGCAGGGTTATATTCGATAATTATTTCACATTTGAGTGTGAAAAATCAAGTTGAATTACCCATAATCCTCTCTTTAGATCAAAAATGTGGACTTATTCATGTAATTCTTTTCAATCGTAGGAAAACATTATAGATATCCAGAAATTTCCGTATATTTAGATCCAAATAACTCTGATAATCCGAGTTTGAATTGAATGTCCTTAAAACCATGAAATCTACATCTCGCGCTATCTTTATAAACAATTGATTTCTCGAACTGCTTGCTGGCGCGCCGATCTAGCTTTCACTTATCAGTCTCTTGAAAGAGATGTTTTCATACTATTACTTACTTACTTATTTGTTTTTCTAGGCAACAAATTACTAGTTTCACTGACGCGGCTGATAGTTGATAGCCGAGCGTAGCGAGGCTGTAGGAGTTCAACCAATAAGCAGATGTTGCCAGGTGAAACATATAGTTTTGTCTCCAAATATCAAAATAGTATATTGTGCACACTTTACTTTTTCTACGACCTTTCACTTAGAGATTGAATTAAAGGAAAATTGGACTAATTTGCTTTATTACAATAATAATTATTATGAACAGTTATATTGCAATTTTGTAAATTGTCAAAATGTACATTTACTTTGTCTTTCTCTACAAAGTAAGTGCTACCTAGACCAGCGACCGATGTGTGAATTTGTATTGACTCTTATGGCACCGGTGCGTGAAATAAATCCCATAAGAAAAGCATGCATGGCACTTCACACACCGATTCGTGAAATGAAGCTTTACACATTTTTATCGATGTGTGAAGTTAGTAATTCACATACGGGAGTAGAAAAAATCAATTTTGTGTGAGTATTTTATCGAAAACTCCGATGTCAGTGTCAATTTTAATCACTAATTACTTTGGAACGTAACAGAGCAACTAACTTCTTCTGCCTGATGAGCAGAAAAAGTACACCTCTGCTGGCTGTTTAGTGTCATCGGAAAGCCACTTCCTATGACGTTTGGAGCAAGAAGATATAGGTAGATATCTGTTTTCTGACCAGTTTCCAGTGTTTTCCGAACATTCGAATTCGTTTTTATATTGAAAAATCGGATAGAAAATAGCTGAATTATTATTGATAATGATATCTTCCATATCTTGTATATCCATTGAAACTTTAATTCAACATTCACACTCTTCAAAAATATGAAAAGTAAGTCATGAAACATCTCTGTAGCTTATTCTTCATCATCATTATAGATAAATATCTAAAGCTAACCATTTCATGCAGGCTCCCATTTTCATATTAATGTGAATTTCTTCTTTCAATAACGCTTCAGACACCACAACTATGTGAGAATATCTACATGCTATTAGGTCCTGTTGGAATACTCTGCATATAAAACATTGAACATAGATTGATCATTTCAACGACCACATCACTCCGTTTCTCAAAGGGATCAATTTATTTTCATTTGAATGATGAGCGGTTTATCAAATTCAGGAGAACTTTATCAGAGCATGTGAGTCTATATTTAGAGCATGCTGAGAACAAAGGTATATTGCAATAATATCATTGATAATATTAGAAGTAACGAACATAATAATAATTTACTAAGGTACAATTATCTAATTGAAACTTTGGTTGTGTGCACAGGAATGTAATAGTATAGTCAATAGCACCAGAATACGGAGGTATTATCAATTAATTACATTTATTGATAATGACCAATACATGTATCCTCTCCAACAAAATTATTTGCTACTTATTCCTGAATCCTGTTATCTATAACAATATTCTCCACGATAATCGTAGGTAACCATTTTGCTACGATAACTTGAATTCGTGCCATAATATCGCAATGGGTTGCATGTAATAAAACCAAACGTTAAGAAACATCTCAACTTCAACTCGTCAAACTCTGAAAATCCATAGCAAAAATCAAAATATTATACACGTATTTTTTTGTTCTGTTATAAAGAAACTTGTTTTCATTATACGGGGTGTTGAAGTTGCCATACATTTTTTTGTTTTTATTTTTCATCTCTGTTAAAACACAACATAGCGATTTGAAATTTGATGAATGATTTTCAATCGGCAATATGAACAGTCCTTGCCAATACATATGACATAGCTACACTGGGTGTTATTGTTCTTATATCCACTGATATGGAACCCTACAAATATTTTCCATTGGGACGCTAATAGTGAATAGCTGATGAGAAGTGATCCTCATTTATCCACCTTGCCAACAACGATTCATTTGTTATGATAGCTTCCTTAGATTTCTTGTTATTTGAAATGATGTTATACATAACGCAGTTTTTTGATCTGAATGTTCATTTCACATCAAATTATCATTCGAATTGAATATTGAATGAATCACGAACAATTCATTTCAGAATTCCATACCTAGTAACCACTAAATTTTTTGTTGATCACTTTCAATATCCAAAGCACTCCATGATAACATTATTTAATGATACCAGTCGAGTATGATGCCGCCGAGGATGCGCCTGATATGATTTGCTCAATAACTCGGGATTTAAGAAAGATATTGAAACATATAAGAGACACAAAGTGAGGTGAAGAGATGATAATGATTTTCCATCAGGTTCAAGTCACTTCAACGTAACAATAAAAAAATCTTCTATGTCAGAGGGCTTGAAAAAGAATAACACCCAGTGTAGTTGAGTCCCCTGTATTGATAAGGACTGATTATATCGCCGATAAAATTCTGATCGCTAGGTCTTATTTCAACTGAGATAACAAATGAAATATAAAAATGTATGCGATCTTCAACACCCCGTATAATGTAAACTAGTTTCTCCACGACAAAACGAAAAAATACATATCGAATATTTAAATGTTTGCCATCGATTGTCGAAGTAAGACGAGCTAAACCTGAGACACCCTGTATATATCGTTTCATATGCAAGCGAATTCGGCAATTACCAAAGAATCACGAGATATTTATACCTATATACAGGGTGTCTCGTTTTAAACGGCCTCCCCTTTATATTCTTCACCAAATTTTAGCTGATAGGTATGAATTATCATCAAATTGAACGATATTTCAGAGACGAGCATCATTTTGGACAGAGCTGTGCGTTTTTACTGAAATAAAAAATAAAACCAGTTCCTTTGTATTGTTCCTCATGCTTCCGAATTTCCAGGTATGCAGAACATTCATCCGATCCTGAATAACCAGAATCGGATTTAATTTTTGTTCTGCCCGAAAAAAATAATTCAATTATTTGCATAATTCAGAACTCTCCATAGCTATGGTAGGTAGAGAAATTGGTTTGAGATAAAAACCAAGACATATCTTTTTTTGATGAACTCACTGTTTTCAACAGGAAAGAAGTTTGAAATTCGATCTTTGTTGACAGGTTATGAAATGTCACTTTCAATAAATTACTTTTCTCCCACAGAAAATTGGATATTGATTTCTTTGAACCAAAAATGGAATTTGATGTGGCGTAACGTCATGATAACCATTTCTCCATCTTGCTTTTTCTGAACAACAAAACCGCATATACAAATGATAAGAACCTTTTTTTTTTTCAGATTGTTCATGTGATACCCACTGCGAATATCATGGCACGTAATCATCATCAAAATCATCCTCATTTCCGCAAGATCATCCTCATAATCGCAAGATCACAATTTCGTTTTCACCCTCGTCTTTTCCGAAACTACACTCCTCTCAACTTACATCGGAAACGTGCTCCAGTTACTGGTCCCTATCATGTATTGTGAGCTGTAACGGTTGACAAGATAGTGCATCTTTCGAGGAGACGTCCACCACTTCGACTGGGCTTGAAGACCTGGATCGCATAGGCCGTTCTGTCGCTTCATCCAGATCGGATTCATCGTTCACGTTGATTTCCTCTTCGGAGTCACTGGCATAATCACTCAACCTGAAACAAAATTAATAAAAATTCACTTCCTGAATTGGACAGGGTGTCGTGCAAGAGACGCATGGTGCTTATTTATTACCCGTCTTGAAATGTGGAAGTTGAGCGATTCAGAAGAAATAGACATGAAGTTTATGTACTACATGGTTTCAGACATTATATTTGGGTGGTTCATTCAAAAACGTCTTGTATGTGTAGTCCTAGAGTGCCTCGAACATATATCATTTCACGCCCTTCAAAGAGTGAGGACACGCTTTTCACCACTGACAATGTGTGTTTGTTGAAGTTTAAGATTCCAATATGCATCTATAATGGTAATACGTTGGATGATATAAGATTGATATAACAAAATATATGGTATAGGTAGGAATTATTAATCGATCTTTTCAGGAATTGAAGATTTGGATGAAAATTTCAATATTATACTCAATATTTAGATAACAAAAACCAAAGTTGTACAAGAGTTTGTCATCATGAAGTGCGACATTGGATTCAATTGTCGAGATGATGAAAAACCTTATGAAGATAGGTAGGTACGTCCACAAAATATGTTTCGCCGGTGTGGATGATTATTAACAAAATAAATCATCAACAAACCGATACAACCTGAAGACTTAACAATAATCACCACTCGAAGCTCCCATGAACAACAGATATACGGCGTCAAACCGATACAACCTGATGACTCAACAATCCTCACCGTGAACCTTTTGTGAACAATACAAAAACAGAGAGAAGCAGATACAATCTGAAGACTGAATAATACTCACCCCCTGAAGCTCCCCTAAACGACAGAGATGAAGCAACAAACCGATACAGTCTGAAGACTGAACACAGTCACCTCCTGAAGCTATCATAAGCAACGTATATACGGTGTAAAACCGATACAACCTAATAAATGAACAACACCCACGTCTTGAAGTTTCCATAGACCAGAGAAAACAGCAAAAAAACCGATACCTGGGAACTTCACAATACTTATCCCCTCAAGCTTCCATAAACGACAAAATTGAGGTGACAAACCGATACAACCTGAGGAGTCTACAACACTCACCTCTTGAATCTTCCATAAACAACAGATATATGGTGACAAATTCATACAACTCAAAGACTTAACAACACCCACATTCTGAAGCTCCCATAAAAAAAAATATACGGCGATATCCTTACGGCGATAAACCGATACAAACTGAAGACTCAACAACGATCACCTCTTGAAGTTCTCAGAAACAATAGACTGATGCAATCTAAATACTGGACAACACTCACCTCTTTTATTAAGCTTTCATGCGCCCCAGCCAAGAAACCTCCAACCGACACGAGGGCCTTGAAGGCGCTTTTCCCGCCTTACATGCCAAGAAACAGCGACGAACTCGCCGCAGTTGAGAAAAGTAAATGAGCGGCCGCCGGCGACAACCCAAAGGTGGAGCAGGGCTCAAGAGCTGGTGGCGTCTTCATTTCAACGGGTACCAAGCAAAGATATCAAATGTGTTGACGAAGAAGCATATTTCATGACAAAGTTGAGCGTTTAGAGCTATAGTTTTCATATATTATTATGTTTCTTGGTATACAATTCTCTATCAAGGTTGCAATGATATTGTAAATATACAGTGCATGTAGGAAGTCTGAATTCACTTTTTCGGGAATTGAAGATGTTGTGGATGAGCATTCGTATTTTCGAATCAATATTCCAATAACAAAAACCAAAGCTGTACGAAATTGGGTGATTCTGATGTATTGAATTCAGTCAAGAAACTGAGTTAATATATGAAGTTGGGATCAATGCTTCCGGTAATCTTCCTAAGACATTCACTCGATTCATTGGGTTATCAAATTTCGTTTCATTCACTGGTCATTACACCGTATCTTCGGCAATTTTGCTTGCAGATCTAGGTACCGATTTAACGAGAATTCAGACAACTAGGTTGAAAATCAAGCTGTGTGGCTGCAGGATATGTGAGATATTCCTTACAAAATAAGATGAAGAGTGCCACCGATATTACTGGTCAACCAAATAATCAAATGATAATCAGTTCAATAACACTCATCTCCTGAAGCTTCCTTAAAAAACAGATATACGGTGACAAACCTATACAACCTGAAGACTCAACAATACTCGCCTCCTGAAGCTCCTATACATGAAAGTCCCACGTTCAGGGCAGGTTGGCCATGGTCAATTTGTCTCGATTCGTTCAGACCGTAGCCAGACCATGGTTCAGTCTCTCATCTAAAATTAGGCTGAACAAGGGCAAAACGTTCAGTACATTATTTCCGACGGCGTATCAGTTGAGAAAGAACTGCATGCCTTTTTGATGATCTTTCTTGTGAGGATGTTTGATTGTTGTGGCAAAGCCGAACACTATAGGTGTTGAATCGTATATTCGTATATTGCAGATGGAATGTGAAGCGAACGAAGTGCTGTTATTACGGAAGTATGCGAACTGTATAACTGGAATGACAAAATTGAGTTTCAGACTGACCGTTCATTAAGTAGGATCGACAATATAACTGCCTATCATAACCAATTGTTCCATTGAGCTTCAACCTGAATAATAATCAGGGTATTACCCTCCTAGCCAGATGGTCATCAAAGATCAATGATGAAAATATACATGAAAAGGTGTCTCTGCAAGGTTTCAGATCGAAGTAAGCGAATTTGAAGCAACTTATCTCAGTCCGGAATTGCTCTGTTTCCGAAATACAGTGTGGTAAAGTTGAAAAAGGAGCATTATTTCCGTCCTTCTCCGTCATTCAACGTCAGTTGTATATCAAATGATTTTATGACATTCGAATGCATTTGAATTTGCATGAATGTTTTCACTCCAAAACTGGTAGTGAAATGAACATGTCATCACCTGTTTTGGAACATTTCACTTCACGCAACTGGTTGGATAATATAAAACTCGCGAGTCATTGCTTTTCAGTGTAAGATATCCTCAAATTATAAACGTCTATGATACGGATTGCAGCAATCAATTGCATGCAATAAAAAATTGAGAACTGTTCCGTCAGTCTTGGAAATATAAAAAAATCACAAGAATACAGTACGTAGCTATAGTCAGAAAACGCGTGTGACCATTGTCGATCCAAATAGAAAAGCAAGTTTGCTAGTTAGTAAGCGACAGGATATAATATTGTCTGTTCACTGATCCAAAATTTGTCTGCCTATCAATGGCGCAACTGTATACAACTGTCAATGGTTCATTTGATTCCATTTCAATGATACTGTTTCAGGTTGGAGCGATCTTTCCCTATTTTTTCTCAAATAGCAATCAACCTTTCAACCACAGATATTGATAAAAGAGGAGAATATTTGTAACGATTGGTACCTGACAATCATGATGGAAACTGACAGTTTTTACGAATGATGGTGCATGGCTGACTGTTGAATCCCTTTGGAACTTTTCCGAATCGTTTGTGATTGTATCTTTGTTCAATTATTTCTCCTAGTGTTGCTCTTCACCTATTAGTAATTAGTTGGTTTATATTTGTTGTTGTTGAGTTTGTATGTGAGTAGGTAATGCTAGTAGTATTATTTTGATCACCCATTTTCAATAGTGGATTTGATTGGACTGTGCATAGTGTCGCGAATTCCATTTTGCACTCCAAAAGGTGATGTGATATTATCTACACACTGCTTTTTCAATGATGTTAATTTGAGGTAACAATCGGTTTAGGCAATATTCGATGCATATTGAGGTGGAATACTCGAATATTCGAAAAAAAATCATCGATATTTCAGGAATGAGAACTTTCGAGTTTCATTCGAAGTTTACAGAAATTTCAACTCAAATTCAAATTGTATGAAAAATTGAGCAAATTAAGCATTGCCTCAACAACTTTTTGCTCTTACTCGAGTATAGGTAGATGATTTTCATACTTGATAAGTATCTTCAATAATGTGTCAACCTTGAGTTACAACATCAGAGATTTTCATCAACACCTCGACAATCTATGCTTGACACTGACAGGAACATAAAAAATGTTCAGGTTCAGCATAAAAAATGAATAACAGTAGCATATTCGACTGGCTGCACTATTGCGCATTCAATTCCAACTTTTGTAGTGCGTGTGTGTTCGGCTGGTATGCACTCAGACAGTTCCAATATCATTTCTATTCGGCTGAATAGGCACTACTCAAGGGTAGAGCAGAATTCATGTTCGACTAGTAGAATCACTCGTTGTTAATTCGAATGTTTTTCCACAAGTATTTTTTACGGTGTCAAAATCACAAGGTGCAAAATTGGAAAGATATTGGGCGTTTATTCACATTGTTATGATCATATTTTTGAATGGAGTGATAAAACTATAAGCAATTGATTCCCAATTGTCGAGCAACAGTGATAGTAGCTATAAGTCGAAAGTCGATATCAATAATGATATTTCTGAATTCATAGAATCGAAGTAGGGTGATACAGGACAGCAAAAAATTATTGATAATCAGAAATTGCAATAACATATTGGAATACGAGAATTTGCATGTAGTAAATGACAAAATTGTATTGTAGGTTCCTACTATTTACAATTCAAACCTCTGATTAGTCACAAAATATCTTTAAACTCATTATGCCGTAAATAGTCGTTTTGTCCATAATTCTAAATTCAGAAAATACTATGATAATTTGTCAATTCTGAAGTAATATATTTGATTAGATCTAGCTAGGGTCCCTTGATGGAAATTGACGTTAAAGTCATCTTAACAGGGTACGAACAGATCATAGCTGCATTCTTTCTTAATGATCTAGAGACTTTAGTTTTCTACGGGCATCCCTGACATTGCTGTCACGTCACATCCACGGGCGCTACACAAAATCATTCAACATTTCAATAATAGGTATGTACAGGGTATTTACTTGTTGTGGAAGATCATATGGCGAACGAGTTCTGTGATTATGATCCGATTCTATTCAAGATTGGAAGGTATCTGGGGTTTCGTCAAACTTGGAGAATTCAAGATGACGGATCCAATATATAGCGAAAGAAATTTTTAATGATGATCTGATTCTATTTAGAATTGGTATCTGAGGGTTATTGGGGTCGAACATCATGATTTTTTATCAAAATTGGGAAATTCAAGGAAGCGGATCCAATATGGCGAACGAATTTTGTAATCATGATCCGATTCCATTCAAAAATCGAAATTGGTATCTGGGGATTCCCAAGGTCGGAGATTATTATTTCGTCAAAATTGGGATATTCAAGATGGCAGATCCAATATGGTGGACGAGTTTTGTAATGAAGATCTGATTCTATTTAAAATTGGTATGTGGGGCATTTGAAAATTCAAGATGACAGATCCAATATGGTGAAAGACATTATTTTATATAATTATTAATCTACCACAAATAAAAAATATGTAGGATGCAAGAGTGAAAATAACGTGCCTATAAGTTATACTGCGTATACCTACTTCTTTGTTACTTTCATCAATAAATTATACGAAAATGAGAGACGGAAAAATCATATGTATAACATGGGGGTAAAGTATATTCTATTCTTTATTTTCTTGCACATTTTACGTATTTCTTTTGATAAGCCTACTTTTCGTCCCAGACAAAGTTTTATACATAGTGTGATATTAGTGCATAAATTCTTCTCCGAAATGGATTTCCGAACATATATTTTTCACACATGACATAAGTACAGTAGTTCAGATACCCAGATAACCACATCGAAGTTTCCACCATTTCTCAATCATAAGGCTCAGCTCATTCAGCTCTTTATCTATGAGCTTCTGCTCAGCTCGAAATCAGTTCTTTTAGTAATTCTTTTAGTCAATTCAGTCATCCCTGGTATACAGTCTAAGAACAGGCTCTTTTGGTGAAATATATTGTGCTTTTAGTACAATTTATATGTTCCCTACCTCGCAAAGATTATGCTGGAGTAGTAAACTCTAAAACTAGAGGATTGTTCATCTATATCTTGGTATAGTTGAATCAGGAATTCCATATGAAAATTACGTATGATACGCCAGTGACCTCAATATAACCTAAAAAACAACGAATGTCAACAATCTAGTGTTTATCCCCAGAATTGAATATGGATGGAACTATATAACTGTTTCACAAACACTTTAGAGTGAGAGGAGACGAGGATCTGTCCGTAATTTCCATCAAGGGACCCTAGATCTAGCTTGATCCAGCGTTAGGGTCCAACAGCACGTTGCCCTAAAGATACCAGTCGAATATTCATAATGAACTGCATCTAAACAATGCCAGAATAATTCGAATTATCGACATGCATCTGCTCTAGATTGGTTCGAACTGAACGAATTCTGTCCGAAGTCACTGCTGTGCTGAATACGCATCTATACCGTGTCAGTGCAATTCAGTCGAATATGCCATGAGTTCATGTATTCAGGAAAATGTCTCGACGGTATAGGTAACTCTCTCCCCTTTTTTCTAATATCAAGTTCTGAACTTTCAACACTCACCTCCTGAAGCTCCCATGCGCCCCGCCAGGCACCAGGGCCTTGAAGGCGCTATTCTCGCCTCCCATGCCCAGGAACAGCGACGAACCCGCCGCAGCCGAGGGGTGCAAGTGGGCGGCGGCCGGCGGCGATCCAGGGGTGGACCGCCCCCCACCGAACATGGAAGAGGGGTGGCCGGGCAGGGCGGGGGAGGACCGTTTGAGCAGGTTCATGCGCTGGTGGCGCCTCCATTTCGCCCGTCTGTTGGAAAACCAAACCTGGTTACGAGGTAGAAGGTGTTAGTTGCGTAGGCGGATTGACGGCAAATACGTATGAATGAACAATATGGATAATCTCAATCTGTGTCCATCAATGAACTCAATATGAACACCTGGAAGGGAGAGTGTCGTTCTGTTGAATAGCACAAAGTGTGTCAGGGGCAGCTGCAACAAAGCTAGGTTGTGTTACGGTAACCTGTCACCTGTCTCTTTCACACCCGTGTTGTTCAATGGCGGATTGGGGTATATTTTTTTTTTATCCAGTAATTGGAGTACTTGAGATCTTTTTTTTTCCTAAACAGGCAGAAATAGTGAAGACATAACTCCATTGTTTTTTGTTCTGTAATAGATTCGTGAAATATCGCTAAATTTGGCGCGTTTGTTTCTTCAAAAGGACTGAATTTGTTGTTGTGAATTGCTTGTTGTTGAAAAGCTCTGTGATTTCGAATCAATAAACAATGGTTATTTATATTGTGTTACCTTTGGATGCAAAACAAGCAAAACAAACATAAATTGTCCTTCATGGATATGGATATGGATATTCATATTCATAACTTGAATGCTAAGGACGAAGTTTTTCATATGGACATTGATTTGTCCCTACAACTTCCAGCTCCCAAGTTTCGAAGTTTATTGATAATAAAACCCTCAAACTGTTTCATTCGAGAAGGGCTATTCAATTGCAAAGAAAAGTGAAAACACTGAAACCAAAAGTTAAGAGGAGAATGGCAATCTTGATGACGTACTAAAAATCATGTTGATGAAGTTTAAATCTACAAGTTGAAATGTTCAAACTCAAGAGCTACATCATATTGTCTTTTCAGGTATGCGTTTGGAGCTTCTTCTTCTCCAGAAAGGAAAAGGTGAAGGTGTACATTCTGGGCGACACGCAGATATTCATCTTGATGAAACAATTCGTCCAAAAATTCTGCTTTTCACCATTCATTCAACTTTCATTCACCTTTCATTGGTAAAATGTTCATGGAAAAATAGGTACTCTTGGAAATCTTCTGATAGTGCTGAGACATAGAGCTTCGCTCACCCTGTACAATATATTGTGACATTTGAATGAGGATATATAATTTCAATTTAGTATTCATTTGATTCCCTAATCCTGTGAGACTCAAAATGAGAATTCACTTTTTGATCAATAAAAAAATCATTAATAATGTTTTAATGATAATTGATTGCAACATTATCCTCTTTCCTAAATTGATATCAATATTTGATCACCTATAGTCTTGAATAAAAGCAAAAAACTAGAAGATATTCCGAATAATGCAAGTGCTTCCCATAAGCCAACATAAGATAAAAAGAGATAGGTATCCGTAATAACTGCGAGTTGCCTGAACAATATATTTGCCTCACTCGTCGTTCACAGAGGATCCCTTCCAGCTGTTTACATTGAGTTCAATGGTGTCCATAGCGCAAAAAGAAGTCGTTTTTTGAAGACAAATGACATAAGGTGATATACTCGAGTTCAAATGATCGACACATATCATCTTGACATCTAACCTATTAATTTTCGACATAAAATTCATGAATATTTATGCACAAAGATCTGAAATACCTATACCAGTTTTCTCTTTCAGTATATAGGTACTATAAAATATTCATATTTCTCTAATTGATTCACAGGACGAATCCATTGAAAATGCTGCAATAAGACTAAAAGTATTTCTTTGTTAATACTAATCATCAGTGTGGTTATCAGCTTGGTTTTCATCAGATGGTATCAGCAGAATATACTCAGCAAGTACACCCAAACTAGTATACAGGATGTCCCTAGACCAGTGGGACAGTTGAATATCTCCTGAACCAATAGGAATCTTCAAAATATTATAATTTCAGATCATGCCACCGAATCCTAATGGATAATCATTTGTTTTATATTTTTTCCGTCGACCTCGTATTAACGACTAAGTTAAATGTATATGAAATCGTTCATTAATGACCCCTATTAATGAACGATTTGTCTATTAATGTACGATTGTTTTATAGGCAACCAAACATACACCGCGTGCATTCATTGTTTATGCTATAACTTACGGAATCTGCATTTAAATCGAAAATATGGATTTCATTGAAGATTTTCTTTTAACAGGTTCACCTTTCCAAGTTTCTGACACGATTTTAATCCCTGTTTTCTAACACAAGGAATTTATTTTCTATGTTGATCATTTCGACAAATGTCAAATGACACTAATGTCAGTGACAAGGCTACTGGGTGATTCTTAGCAGTTTCCAGATGAATGATGAATTCGCGAACCAAGTTTTCTTCATTGCAGGAGAAATGAGAAATATAGTCGACGGAAAAATTGTGTAACCAACTTGTATATTAAAAAGCGATTAATGATCTCGAACATTAACGCGCTCGCTTCGCTCGCACGTTAAAATATCTCGATCATTAATCGCCCTCATTATTACACTAGTTGGTTAAATAACTATTAGCTTTGTTATCCATATTGTTAATTAATACATATATATGATTGACGGGCGAGAATTCGAATAACCATCTGAAACGATCTATCTTACAGTAGTGTGAAGATAATTGGGCAGGCAGAAAATCTTAGTCAACTTCACCACACTTCACCGTTTTTTGTGGCCGAATTTGTCACCTATACTGGATGACTACGTAATAATTGGATTGATTGGTTTAAAATTTTGTCCATATTCCGAAAGTCATGATTTTAATCGAATTCCTGTGATTGTTGCATCGAAGATGAGTTGGGTTATGATGCGTATTGGTGTGATATTGGTGATGTTTGTATATTAACATTTCTACGTAACACTCCAGATTACGAAACCTATGGAATGAGAAGTGCACAACTGTGTTGTCAGTCAAGACGATTTTGTAAAGCAATGTATATTTGTCCTTATTTCCAGTATAATAGGTCTTCAAATGATCAGAGATAGATATATTGCAGGATGTATTTCATATCTCATGCCCTCATTGCTTACAAAGAATCACGTGATATTGTGATATATTTTTGATACATTGCACATAGATTTTGTTAGATGACATATATCATTATTATCTGATCATCAATTCATTAGAGGAGAGCGTATGTCACTGATTGATTCAATATTCTATTCATATGATTTTCATCGATTTTATCGATATATATGTAGGAATAATACATGTCAACAATGATGTGAAAATGCAGTGTTAACTCATCTATGAAGTATCCAACAAAATAAATGCCGTGGTCCAGAATATTGGCCGACTTCAAAAACGAATGGATTCCATGTATAACTGATTTTCATTCAGTTTTTACAGTTGGCTAGTCCAATCTTTCAGTTACTGCAATATGGGACTACGAAAATTCCACATGAACGTGCTATAGGATGATAATTGAAGAAGTTATACCTAGTTGAAAATTGCAGCGGTGTCGTTCTCATTTGAGCAAATATTCCTCACTAGCAAAAATGATGGGATTATTTGAATTGTTGGTATATAGTTATGATGCCCCTCTAGAATTCATCCTAGATCCGTCACTGACATTCCTGAGAATCTTTCAAATTTGGAATCTGGAAATGGAATAGCATCTAATATTCAGGATTTGTATTTTTCAGTATAGGGAAGAGTGAAAAAGGCGCGAAGATATATAATCAGAAACCTGCATTTCCGTTCGAGAGGTATTCAACTTAAATATGCTTGAATAATAAAATATCTATAGATCTCTTATCATAGATTGATTATCGGGTCTCTCGATTGCAGAACTTTCTACAATAAATATTATGAACGCTCTGAAGGGAAAGAAATATATCCGTGGAAATGAGTTCACTAATCATTCACAATGATTATTTGGAATATAAATGAGATGATGTTTTGTTAAATACCAAGCGTTTCATTCATTATTCTAGAGGTATGTTGAATAGATCATCATCATCTTTATCAAAAATGTTCAATGGTTCTTGAACGAAACCGACACCATCATCCCCATTGTGGTTTCGAAAGAGCCATTGCCCTCAGCCATGAATTATTTTGCGATTGGTTACAGCACGCCCTTCAACTGTCCTGTTGTTAATTTTCCCTCAGGCCCAATCAATGGAATAATTCACCCCTCTACAAAATCGCACCCCAACGTCCGTTTCCACCATACCCAGTGATATTTTCAAATACAGGAAGCGTCCTCACAATTATTTCGATGGGATATAATGATTCATTAGGTATATGCTCAGTTCAGACATTTCAAGAAACCGTTTGATATGTAGAACTTAGAAGGAAATAACGGTATAGGCTGACTCCATCATACCAGTGCGATATTGGTAATCACTGTCATAGTTCCGGAATAGGTACTTAGGTTCTTCTTGATATCATTATAATATATTGAGTATATTTTCTATATGGTTTCATCACGTTCACGTTCATGTTATGAGGAGAGCGAAAAGATATTGATCTCTATTCTCTTCATTGGTAAAACATTCGAAATGAAAATATGATCTACTCGTAGATGCCTCATATTGTTGTGAATGAATAAGCTCACTTTCTTGTCACTGTATCAGGAATATATACAAATTTTCCGAAGTTGTTTTGTTGAAATAATAGATCTAAATACACACCACTCTTCCTCATCACATCTGGGTGCCTCTGACACACAAATGAAATAATGAAATTATCATTTACTTCTTGAAACACGATGTTGATGGAAAAAATACACCTCTTTTCTATTGATTCTCATGCCTTCATGTTCTTGGAAGTGGACAAATGTTCTGCTTCTCCGTGAATATCCTATAGATACTACTTCTGGTGGTAGGTGATCGAGCTCAGCTAATAAACATTCAGCGCCTGGTGCGCTTGAGGAGTAACGAGCCTCATCAATAAACTCACTCTTTCCGTACACCCTATAGAGCGATGACGAGAAGTAATCTCGGTACAAGGTATAATGGACCGTGTTGTGTTGGTCCACTGAATTCACCATTTGTACCCTATGCTGTCGGAGATGTAATACCTACATCGTTTCCAACGGTTTCCATCCATGAAACAACGCTATTCTCTCAGAGTGGTACAACATATCTCAAGGAATAGTATATTGTGCAAGAAGTGGGGAAAGTTCAACCTTTCTCACGAGTGTGAAAGTTTGTAGCACGACCCTAAAGGGCGAGTGATGCAAACACACGAGTGAGAAAAATACTTTTCCCCACATGTTTCACACTATACTTCTTCTACAACTGATGCACTTATCCAAGAATCCAAGTAATGTAACTTATTGGTATATTTATTTTATGATGTGGCACTACACTATGCCACATTGAATATTGTGACCAAATAGTAGACGCTTTTCCTAGATCCTCAAAGTATATCAAGAAAGTATACTTTCCGAAAATGATTTTATATCTGTATTTTTTTTAGATTCCATCAATTTTTTGTATATATATGCCAAATCTTACTTTTTTCTTGAAATTTGCGGAAAGAAATCCAATTTTCGCAGCTTTTTCCATTATCTCTGTCTCTGGTGGTGTATTTATCATAATCGTCGCATCTCGGTATAAACATCATATTATTTATTATCAATTCTTGGAATGATATTTGATGGAAACTGCGATTTCTTTCAAAAGCACTAATGAAAACTGCTCTAAAGAATTTGAAAAACTTCTTCTGACAGTTGTGACGACTATTCAAAGCTGAACACCAGCCAATTAGGTTGTGGTCGATTTTTGTTGTATGTATGTATGTGGTGTTGGCAAAGTGCCCTGAGGAAAAATATTTCTCACAGTATGAGCAATACATGGTTCTGGAACTAAGTAAGCTATGAGGAATGCGCTACATTTCATAGCAGTAGTAAAAAAATAATCTATCAAAATTCACTTTTTCTATATTCCTTGATAGTTCTACAATGCAATATAGATCTGTTGCGGTTGAGAGAATCCCATTCTGGGGTGCGTTTGAATTCTTTGAATTGGATCATTTCCATATACTCATTCTGAGAAAGTGCCCACGTAGTGTGGAGAAGCTTTATAGCTCCTAATAGCAATGAAAGGTATACATAATATCTTTGGAATATAGTACAATTCCGTGAAATCAAAATTATTCTGATCTCTACAGAATATTATTTGAACGCAGGGCTACATGTAATCATGTATTATGATTTTTTTGAATAATGCACCTTGTATTTAGATGTTGATTCCAATATGACGGCTGATCATCGTTTCCAAAATTATACATGAACTTCGATGATACTTCGACTATTCCTTCAATGACGTCATATTTGAGAGTTATCTTACAGGGTGATTTAAAATAAACTGGGAACTCATTTTCTTTGGACAATGAGCTATAATCAATCCATCAACCAATATCACACCACAACACCTCCCACCAAGAGCCTCAACTCACCTGGACCCTAGCCTCCGACAGCGAAGTCTTCGACGCCAACCTCTCTCTTGTCGACACGCACGGGTAGTGGCTCTTCTCGAACTCTTTTTCTAACTCCTCCAGCTGGTCAGGACTGAAGGTAGTCCGGTTCCGGCGGAACTTCGGCTGCTCCGAACTATCCACACTCGAGTCATCCTTATCGAAGGGGCCTGGCGGTGAGCCCATTGGCCCGCGCTCGTGGAGGGGAGAACCGCCCGCGGTCGTGTGACCACCGGCTGTCGGGATACCGCCCGCGGTTTGGTGACCGCCTGCGGCCGGATGCAACCCCAGCGGGCCGCTGGGCCAGAGGGGCGAGTGCCAGGGGAAGCCGGCGGTCGCGTAGGGGTGGTGATGGTAGAGGCCGTAGCCGGCCGCGCGCGCAAATTCAGCTGCCGCGCGTTCGGCAGCGCGGTTGCGCAGAATGCGGTTGATGGAGCTCACTGACGGGGCGGTGGCGTTCGTGCATACTCCTGCAACAAATAAACTTTATTCGAAACACTATAGATTCCATTACTTATCCATCCAATCAACACACGAGAAGTAATAATCATCCACAAGAGGATATTCATTATTCCAGATTTTTGGAATTTTTTCTCCTCGTTTTTATAGAATAAAAATATGAATAATATGGTACATATATACGTGTATATAGTAAGGACAAGTCAGATGATTTGTCCGGAAATGTCACTGCGTTTAAGGAATTTTTTTATCAGAGTGCCTGAAAAAACAATTCACTAGCTTGTCAGTGACAATTTGTATTGAAAAAATTTTAGAGAAGGGAAATAAAGGTATATAGAAAAAATATCAAATCTTTACTTAGCTTTGAACGTTTCGGGAACGAATCTGCTTCCGTTTTCAACATAAAAAATGGATTTTTTTGTATCGCGAATTCATATTTGTCGTGACACTTTTCAGTTCTTAGTGACAATTGGTGACGTTGGCAATCAAATGAGTTACAGGATGTTTCCATTAATCAATCTTGAATTCACCATCTTCATTTTCAACGTCCAAAGCTGAGTAAAAATTTTATATTTTTATTATATACCTCTATTTCTCTTCTCCAAACTTTTTTGAATACAAATTGTCACTGACAAGCTAGTGAATTTTTGACGTAACGGAAAAAATGTGGTGATGCCAGCTTGATAGTCAGTTCAGCTTGGCTCTTGAAGATGAGAAACACTGATGAACACCAGGAGTGCCATATTTCTGAACGGCCAATGAGAACAAGAATTCACTTACACCGTATACGTATCGAGAAACACACAAGGAAAAGAGATAACTTTTATACGAACACATGCATCTTGACCTCACCAAATTTACAGCAAATACTGCGAATATTTGCTGATTCACATGTTCAAGCATAATCTGCTGTTGATTTTGGCACTATATACTGAGTAGGTATTCAGTAGGAATGAACTGAGTAGAAATAAACTAGGTTTCATTTTGTGGAAAGTTCATCTGGTAATCTTTGCTGTTTCCTTCATTCGATGGCTTTGATGCTATAGGAATGGTCAGTTGAAGTTGGTTGGTTGGAAATTTTACGAGATTTTCTTAAGCTCGTTCTCTTCATTAAGGAGGCGATATCGAGAGGCTTCCAATCTTCTCCCAATAAAAAGTAATCACACCATTTGAAGTTTTATAGATATATCAAAAAATCATGAGAGCTCTGTTTGATTTGTTTCAATCCGGTAGCGGCGGAATGACAATTTTATACCTTCATATAAAATGAGCACCAAATGACAAACAAATCGACATTCTGATTGAAATTGAAAAAATGATCGTGAATTTCGAAACTGAACAGTTTTCAATGGGATGCCTCATGCTTTCAATGATATATCAAGAATTGTGCTCTTTTGTCTTGAACAATGAATATCCAACCAATCCGCACATCATCTTCCTCTCGAGATTCATTCAACAATTATATAAGGAATCGTATAGAGACTTTTATGGCTATATACCGGCATGTGCAAGAACCGACGGCTATTGTTAATGATCGGTCTTCTTGAATCAAGTGGTAGGCATAGCACAACTACGAGCCTCAAGAGGACTCACATACCTTTGTCTGAAATGTCATCCTCTTGGATTTGAAGCACTCATGATTTCAACGGGATAATTTCTTTGAATAAGATAATTACATGCACTCAAATTATTGAATGGGTCGAGATGTAGGTATATTGAACAAATATATGATAAGTCAACAATGATGAGTCTCTTTCTTGTGGTGGTTAAATGTGTTGGGAATGAATCAATGCAAGACAAGAGGTGTTGCCATGTCTTTTGAAACGAATATGATGAAATTTATGATCCTGAGATAAAACGTACAATAGTTGATTCAATTGCGAGTGCGAAAAAGTGTAGATAGTGCGTATAATCAGATTTCTGGTTCTGTCATACTCATATAGCTGTATTTGTTCTGTTTCTATAAAGACATCTTTTAATTTCCTTTTCCAGTATCTCAGAAACAAGGACCGGAAAATGTGACAACTTCTTTTCGACAGGAACATCATATTAAAATTTGTTGACAGGATCTAGTAGACTCATCATATGGAAAGAACCAAACCAGATCAACACCTCGAAGTTACCGTTACCACAGAAATATGAAGAATTATCCTATCGCATCAGAGTAGGTTTACACTATGATATAATGAGAGGGATACATATTCATCATTCAAGGACCCATTGTGGATTCTGATGGAATTTTTGAATATAGTGAGTATTGAATATAAATAATACATACCGTATTTCCTTACAATGATTGATTTTTCCCAAATCCGATCTTCAACAGATATTCATCCAAATATGTATAGAGCTTGGAAGTCGATAATGTATATCACCTTCAATAAGGCACTTTTCATTGACTCAAAATAATTAATTCAGTTAGAAGCTACTTTGGCCATAATTTCCACAGTAAGCTAGTGCATCAGCCGAGAACTAAGACCAAATTAGGCTTCAACATAATACATGGAGGTGGATCATCTTTTTGGTGTGAATGATCAACAATTTCCTAGATAGATAGTTCAATTTCAATGAATATATCATATTTTGAATATAGGAATAACTTTCGACTTGACCAGCATTTTGGTATGTTTAAAATCGATCATCAGTATATAGCCTTATGTCAAATGGATCAGTATAACTTCAATCATCTCCTTATATTTTTTTTATTGAACAATAATGCCAATTGACGCACTATATGGATGTATCGTAATAAGGTTTTATTATTGTAAATTGCTCAGTGTTTTTTCTCTACAAAGATATCAAAAGGTTTTCCTACTTCTTAGCTAGTTTTTTGGGCAGTCTCCCAATTATTATTACAGATAATATGTCCAACAGATGCGGTTGTTTCATCGTATAATCATTTCAGATCGACGAATAAGTTTAGTGAAACAATTTATGGTTAGTATGCTCTTGAGGAATACTACCTGCAACCAACCTGTAGATCACAGAAATACGAATAATTGAGTAGACTGAGATGAAACTAATACTGCATAATAATAAAAGTGAAACAGGGTTTCAACAATGATTGAGTCACGTGACAGATTACTATGCAAACAGGAATGTACATTTATATCTTTTTACCAGGGATGAACGACATACCAACATGAGAAACGGTTGTTACCTATGGAAGTAGCTTGTAATGTTCTTCAACACAACCTCATTCGCTTAGTGTTAATAAGTATGTGTATTTTGTAATTGAGAACCCTGGTGTGCAAGGAGGATGGATGTGTAACAAAATACAAAAATATGCTCACATGATTGGGTCCCAGATAGGCTTTCATCTGAATGATATGAAAATCGAACTTTGCGTTGACTGCTTGCATAGCTGCTTGCAACTATTTGAGACATAGCCACTTTCAGTAATATTTGAATTAAAACATACGTTTCATTTCTCTCCTGTACCAAGTGCACAGAGCTTCAGCATGAATGACCCGCACCGCTCTTATGGGTTTTTGGGTCCCGGTTAAATCGGCTGAAATAGTATGTCGTAGTTTGTGATACCCTGATCGAAAGTTCTGATGGGCCCAACTCAATCCTATATGACTAGTTTTCGAGCAACAGCGATTCAAATCTTGGATTGTTTGCCTTTGAAGGTGTATAGAATAGACATATTTTTCTAAGTGAATTCGTGCCCTATGAGCTTCAAAAAATAACTCGTTGATAAAAATTTAACCTTAATAATAAGTTTGATCGTTTGAATAATAATTCGATAAACTGAAATTAACAGGGTGCTGGATAATATCTTGCAATTTAATTATGTTTTGTAATAATCATGAATTTCTGTATATCAAATAGGAAAAACACACTATCCATGTTGAGAATCAAAGTTCATTGAATAAATGGAGAAATCGAGTATACAGGGCGGTATCGCACGGAGGCGTAAGCGTTACTTCTATTTTATGAAACTCAATCAATATGTGGACTATATTATCGAAGCTATGTGCTATTTTGATATCCCAAGTTTGATTTATCAATTTCTATTTCATCTTACCTGAACAGACATTATTCAAATCTAACTTTCTTGCTAATACCCCTTATTTCAACATTCTGAATCAGGGTATAAGATGAAAAAACAATCAACAAATCAATCTTGAAGTAGTAAGATTTGCATATTATTCAGTCAGATCAATTGAAATTTATGAAATTCAAGTAACTGATATTATGTCTGTGCAATACCACCCTGTATACTCGATTCCTTCCTTTATTTAATGAACTGCAATCCTGAATTTTCGTTTTTTTTTTGTTTGATATCCGAAAATGCATTCACCCTGTTATCAATATTTCAGTTGATTGAATTATTTTTCAAACAAACTTATTATTAAGGTTGACATTCTATCAACAAGTCGTTTTTCGAAGCTCATAGAGCACAAATTCACAAAAAAAAATATGTCTGTTACTCGAAAACTAGTCATAGGATTGAGTTGGGCCCATCATGAGAGATTTTTATCATATCACATACTACAGCATACCATAATTCCAGCCGATTTGATCGGGACTCGAAAACCCATGAGAGCGGTGCGAGGTTTTTCAACAAACAACAATTTTAAATTCAATTTCGCTATTATTGAGTGGAAATGGTATCATCAATGATGACGACTAAATTTAGAAGAATCTCTTTTGAATATAAAATGTTTCTTTGGTGGAAGATTTAGGTCCTTCGCCATATTCTATGAATGCGATTGATGTAGTCAATAACTATTTCTTATGCCAAGTTACAAAGACAGGGGAGTTTTATCCATAAGGCTAATGAGGCTAAAGCCTCAGGCGCCGCAGATTTTAGGGGCGCCAGCGCCAGCAGATCCTAGGAAAAAGCCAAAAATTGGCAGCGCTAGAAACGAAATTGGAGGATTCAAGCACTACCCACCAGCAAATATCAGTCGAGCTGTATTTACCAATGAATCTGTTTCGTTCATTTTCGTTCATTTTCACTCTAGTCTATCATTTTATGTTGTTTTTTATTGTTTTGTTATTC